AAGAAACTGGTTGATTTTATGCCACCGGAGGCACTTGCTTTGACAGATTACTTCGGTAATACAGGGCTCCACGCAGTGGCTGTCCTAGGAAATGTTCCAGCAGCCAAGCTGTTTGTGAGGAAAAACCAAGAATTACCAAATATTTGGAATATTGATGGATCTTTGCCTATTCACTTGGCTGCAATGAGAGGTCATAGAGACATGACTTTGTATTTGTTCTCTGTCACCAGAGAAGATGAATACTCGGACCCATCTAAGGATGAAGCTGGTGCGACGCTTCTGAATTTCGTAATAAATGCTGGATTTTATGGTGAGTATGCAAAGTTACTGCTCAAGTCAAATTATATCCACTGGGATAGAGTGAGTTTAACTTGTACCGTTAATTTCTGAGATAGAAATTGTTTCGACTGATACGCCCTTTCTTGCTGAAATTCTAGATTTGGCTGTCCATTTACTCGAACATAACCCAAAGTTGGCATGGCAAGGTACATCTCCTTTGGATCTGATGGCTGAGGAACCATCTGCTTTTCTAAGTGGAGAGCACTTAACTATTTGGCAGAACTTAATCTATTCCTGTCAGTTTCTTTAGTCTCTATTCATTATCAAATACGTTTCCTGTGTTTACGTTCTATTATCTTATTCTGTTTCTCCGCTTTTTATTCATCGATTATGCCTTTTTAATTCTTTTAAGAAATTAAGAAGCAACTATCACATCTATATTTACTGGAAGTGGGGATAAGGAGCTGGAATAAAGATGTCTAAACTTTAAACAGCAGATCAGATTAGACGTCTTAGAAGAGTTCAAATCAAAATAACAGAGTTTATGTGATCTTGAAAATTATGTCTATCCAGTTTCGCATTTGATTCTAGCAGTGTCAGATTTTCTTTTACCTGAAATTTGGAAATAAACCGCTTTTACCCTGTACTATTTTCTCAATTACGAAGGCGAATAGAAGGAAACATACATGCCGAAACATAGCATAAAACGTTTTAGCCCATGTGCCTGGTGTTGATTGGTTTTACATATCAACATTTCCAACCTTTTCTATTGATTTTAGGCAGATAAAAAATCTGCTCACTTTCCCGGGGTTCCAACTGGCCTAATCTTGTGTGAGAAATGTTTCTAATACAACTTGGAACTGCTGTCGAGCTATTGTTAAATTTAAGGAGCTGTTTTTAGGCTGAGCTTTCTTGATCAGGTAGTGTTATCACTTTAGCCATGGAGCAACATAGGTTTCTCCCATGGTTCTATCACAACAAGGTACTTATGTCATAACTCATAGAGTAGGATCAATCAGATTTTTGTTGGATTATTGACAAGGTAAAAAGCAGGGTTTTCGAGACCATGTCTCAGATAATATATATATATATATATATATATATATATATATATATATATTTTTT